TGTATTATTCCACAACTGCTCGATGGCACCCCGAGAAGGTTTCGGCTTGCAAGGTGATATGAGATCCTAAAAAATTTCTCCTAACAATCCAATTTAAGGTGCAACTTTATCAAACAAATAACAAGTAACAGCCAGCGTTACTTAGCAATATATACTTACATTCATGAGGCGCGCTGACTCTGTTCCATTCGATATACACTTGATTTTAAGTTTTCGAAACGCGGGAATCAAGTGCTCAATAACTGTACTATTTCCTCGGAACCTTTTCCGTTGACGCTCGCAACGATGGCATACATAACGCTGCGATGAAGTAAAATCCACAGCCTCATAGGCACACCCTGCAATATGGATTCTCATACCACACGAGTCACAATCGGCCATCGCCCCAAAGTCGCTCCCGCGATTGCAAATATGACAGCATATTGGTTTAGGCATAGGAACCAAATAACGCAAACTGATAATGAAAAAATTTCCCATTGGAAGACAAGCAAACAATGTTACGGCGAGTAATGTAAAACAATATGAGTGACGACTTCGCTCCGCCGTCAAACGATCGAAACGCCACGTTACTTATCGCGATTGCTGTTATGTATGAAAAGGGCAACGGACAAAAGAGCACTCAAAATACATAACCGCATACAAACTTTATACAAAACAGCATCTGCGATTTCATAATAACACATTTTTCGTAAATAAGAGCGCAGCCGCTCTTTTGACAGTGCGATTTATTTTTGTGCTGTAATGGTTACCTGCGACTTTTAGTTGTAGAAAACCGCACTTCTGTGGTTCTGTACGTCAAACTACTATTACAGCACATCGCACTTTTTTCTGCTCTTTCTCGTGTGCTGTTTTGTATGGTAGCCGGCCTAAGTCGATAAGACGTTCAAGTTCGTGTTGATAGAACTTTTAATTTCGACTTTCGAACCTTCTAATTCGTCACAGAACTTTCAATTCCGTCGAGTACACCTTCAGACCTTCAATTTCGTCCCTTTAGGAAAATCGACTTCGTTGTCCGGAACTTCAATTTCGTGTTACCGGGGAAATTATGACAGTACTCTCATTGAGCCAAATGGCTAGCGTGTTCCAATTTCAGTACAGCACACTGATCAAGAGGATCAATCCTCAGTTGAAAATTGGACGGTATAGGTGTGTAACGAAGTAAAACTCTCGGGGTCCGGAGGAGACTCCCAGGCATGTGCAGCTGTCGAGGTCACCCTGCCGCGTCACGCGGTGGTCGAAGTCAGCCCACGCGCTGAGGTCTCTAACGACCGTCAGGGAGTAGTCGTTCTTGCCCACTCTCCCGCCCGGGGGGAAGCGGGCTACGGACTTCGCTCTCTCGTTGTCCAATCCCCCTTCCTGAGTGATCCGTTGGTGCGCTCTCCTGCGCATAGTTTGAAGTGTTGCTAACGAACCCTTGGAAGAGTTCTATGTGTACGCACACACAACATGATGACAGGCAGCGGTGACGGTGTTGCGATGCGCGCTGCGCACGATGCGGAACTTGAAGACTAGAGGTCTACTACGCACTGATACAGATAGCGTGCATAGCAACACAGACACACCTCGCATATACATACGTACAAGGTGACTGTATGGAGCTCATTCAGCGATCAGCAATCTTCCGGTCTGCACTATGAAACGAGCGGCTCCTCACACCAAGAGTGGCGACGCAGAGAAACTGATCAAATATTACGAAGATCGGGCCATCAAGGAGCTTCGATTTACCGTCAATGGGATGTAAGCAAGCATATGTCTGACGACTCTTCAGGAGCATCCAATGTTATGCGTCAGAGCATCGAAACAACTGCTCGCCCTGTATTGTTCACTGAGCAATGTTCAGGCCTGTTCACGTGCAGAATATTGACCCGGAGTGCACTCTATTAGAGTGGCTGAGGGCATCTGGACTGTGTGGTGCCAAGTTGGTCTGTGGGGAAGGGGGGTGCGGTGCCTGCACGGTGTCTGTGTTCACTACCGACATCGTTACCGGCAAGGTCGGTGTTCTCGACTCCCTAGCGATACCAATTCTCGGCATTTTTTAGCCCGTGCATCGATCTGTGAACTCGTGCCTAGTGTCCGTCTGCGATGTTTCTGGGTGTGAAGTAACTACGATCGAGGGTGTCAAAGTGAGTCGATGAGACTATCCATGCAGTGGTGAGCGAATGTGATCCTGCAGGGCGATGATTGCGAGGCCAAGTGTGACGCAAGTGATAGCAGTACAAGGGCCGGCGCGTGCAACTCGAGAAGACATGGTGGGTCTCGCTCGCTTCGTAATCTTGGAA